CCCCCCCCCCCAAACGCCCATAGAAGGGAAAAAAAAACACAATAAAATATTTTCACAGTTGCAAAACTGTAGTCAAGCTAGGTGGTATGCAGTGATTACTCATCTATTAGTATTTCTTTTTGCAGGCTCTGAAGTTCCTATCCTAATATACCCGGAAAGTATTGATCCTGCTGTACTATTGTTAAGAAAGGAATATGCTTGGCATATAGGGGGGGCCCTCCCACAAGACGAGCTGCATGAATGGAGACTTTTGTATCACAGTACAGTACATGGTCTAAGTTTCAATACATTCCTGGGAAAAATTTCGTGAGTGGCTTCTTGCTAGCTTAGAAATGATTTTCTTATTTGAGGATTAACTATCAGTATCTTTGATCTCATTAAGATCTTTAAATTAGCTATAGTTAGGCTAAAAGACCTTGCACAACTTGCTAAATAGATGCCATTTTATTTTTTTATATCGATTGCGACGTTAACCTACGTATTGTTAGTTCAATGGACTTTGAAATATCAAGTCAGTATAACATGCATTTCTCCAATGGATTCCAGGCAAAATTAGCTGCATTTCGTAATTATAGATGCTTCCCTAAGGTATCTACCAGTTGCATTAATAATGGGTGGAGTAGATGTTATACTATTCATGATCCACCCTTTAAGAAGCTACGACATTTATTTAAGGTGGTGATAGGGCATTGGATAACTCTCATTGTCCGCACCACTCTCCCTTTGAGATCCATCACCCTTGTCCACCCCTACTTGTTGTGGGTGGAGTTTTCCCTACTCGGACCTAGCTTGCAGGCATTTCTTCATCCTTTCCATGGCATTTAGCCTCGATAAGTTTCAAGAATCATTGAATATCTTCATAAACTTGCATAAACAGAATCTCAAACCCAATCAAGAAACTAATAAGGTGTCTATAACCCAACTAGAGGAATCCAAGGATGATTCAAGAATCGGTTGTTGAAGACGTGGAATGGCTATTGACAACCACAAAGAAATGTTATGTGCATGAATCCTGTCACAAGATTCACAGCATACCATCTTTCATGTAGCCTTAATTCTTCTAGCAGCTAAATGATACTCCCTCCGGTTCACAATAAGTGTCTAATTTGCTTTTTCATTTTGGTTCAAAATAAGTGTCCAGTTATGTAATCAAGAAAGACTTCAATTTGTTTTTACAAAATAATCTCTATGTACATATCCCTAAAAAGTTTTCTTACTCCTCACATTAAATGTTTAATTAGGGGTAGTTTAGTCATAGTAGGTATTTTTGTATAGAATTTAGTATTTTCTTAATGGGCGTGCTAAAAGCAAATTGGACACTTATTGTGAACCGGAGGGAGTAAATTTTGGGTGCATACTGATGCATAAATGCCATCACTTTTTCCTCTCATTTTTATGTTTGGTTGCTGTAGTATCATTTTTTGAGCAAGTGTTAACTCTTTTATCCAAGTATTAACTCCCAACTTGAACTGCAGAGATGACAAAGGACCAGCTTTATTGATAATAAAAGACAAAGAAGGCTATATTTATGGAGGTTATGCTTCTCAACCATGGGAGAAGCATGCTGACTTTTATGGGGACATGAAGTCTTTCCTCTTCCAGCTATACCCGAAGACATCAGTTTACCGTCCTACTGGAGCGAACACTAATTTACAGTGGGTAAGCTTCTGAACCTTTTGAAACAATTGATATCATTTAACTTTATACATATTAGCTGTCAAAAGAAATAATGGATTCACTCGGTATCATTGGAGAAGGCTTCCTCTTGTTCAAACTTCAAAGTTCCTCCAACTCTTAAAAACTTTTCCGGTTATCCTGTGGGCTCTTCATTTCCAAGTTGCAACTCATTGCTACTGGTTACTACCTATTGCCCTACTCTGTCTGTTTGACCATCAGTCACCAGGATCCTTGACGGATTTTGGATTTCGAAGCTGGAGTAGGGGTGTGCATTCGAATCGGTTTATCGATAAATCGAATCGATTATTTGTTATCGAAATCGAAATCGAAAAATCGAAACCTTATTGAAACGATAACGATAAGCATATGTACAAATCGATAATCGATAAGGGTCAAAATCGAATCGATAAATCGAATGCACACCCCTAGACTGTAGACACTTGTTAAATGAGTAATTACCTATTTGTGTAGATTAATATAACATACAGAATGTATATATATATTCCGCTACTATTTTGAATGCGGCTATACAATATTATTTTCCCTAATCTATACCCTTTCCTTTACCCTAAGTCCCTTACCCTATTATTTCCTCTACCACATTTAAGGAATGATCATATTTAAAGATCAAGGGAATGAAGTTCAAATTAATGGAAAACAGAATTAGCCGTGATGATGTATTTTGTTTTGTCTTGTTTTTTTTATACCGTTGGAGTGTTGGTGGCATACATTTGATCCCTTACTTTAGTTTTGTTGCATGTGCTTGTGTACACAATTTTTATATTATAAATGGTGTTCGTCTTATTTTAGCTTCTTTTTGTCCATATTAGTTAGGCGCGTTTATAGCGATATACTTTCTGTGGAATCCCGCAAATTTTCTTATTGGTGTAATCGATAACCGAATCGATAAGCCCCCAAAATCGATAAATCGAAATCGAAAAAATCGAAACCTTATTGAAACGATAACGATAAGCATATGTACAAATCGATAATCGATAAGTAATTATCGATAAGGGTCAAAATCGAATCGATAAATCGAATACACACCCCTAACCTGGAGGTCTTTTATTCTTCTTTTGCCTTCTGAGACTTGGGCAGAGACAAAGATGTATCAATATTTTTGCAAGTTCTCTCCGTGCAGTAGTATACATACCTTTTTTCTTATGAAGGTAGTGTCCAAGCCAACTCGTGTACACCTCGACTATTCCAGGTATCGGTAAGTCTGCCCACCAAGACTTAGGCAGATGGGAAGAAATCACCTAATGTTTTTGCCTCCGCTGGATTTGAACCTGAACCTGGGATTTCGTGGTTCAACTCCCACTCCATAACTACTAGCCCACACCCTTGGGTGCTGAGAATACATACCATGTAATCATAGTTAAGTGAGAGTACTGTGTATGAAATACGTATATCTTGCATCCATTAGTTTTGGTGTAAACACCATGTGGTTGTAGGTTTTTTTCAAGTAGTTTATGTGCCCTCCTGAAACACCTAAATGACTTACTTTTATCTGGAATTGTTCACGCTGATGAATACCTTTTAATATATCTCCCGCCTCACAACATTGTACAGTAATCTGGGAATTGTACACTTGACAAAAAATTTGCTCCATCGGTGTTGCTTGCTTTCATTGCATGAGTGGGTTGAGCTTCCAATTGGATTTCCATTTTGATTATTGTTCACATAGTTGGGACATCAGAATTTTCAGAATTTAATTTTCCAGGTTCATGTAAAGTCCTTGGGCCTGGATGTTTATATGTTGAAACAATAACTACTTGCAAACTGGAATTAGTTTATCGACTATTGAATTACTAAGATGTTTAAGCTCTTATCTTTCGGCAGTGTGCTATAAATTTTAGTTCTGAGAGCATCCCCAATGGCATTGGTTTTGGAGGACGAGTGCACCACTTCGGCTTGTTCATCTCAGCTAACTTTGACCAGGGGCATACTTTCACCTGCACTACCTTTGGCAGTCCTAGCTTATCAAAGACCAACCAGATCTTCCCAGAAGTGATAGAATGCTGGGGAGTTGCAATAAAAAGAGCTCAAGACGATAATCATGATCGACTTAAAGGTACTGTGTTAGACAGATTTAAAGAGGACCGCCATATGCTCAACATGGTTGGGCTTGCCAATTCAAGTCAGTGATGTGCCTACGTCCCCTCATATACATATTTGAAGTTGAGACACTCGTTACTTCTGCTCAATTAGCGTGGTTTCGCTTGCATATTCGAGAGTTTATCATCTTGCATGTAGTTTAATTATATATTGTGTTATATTGATAGATGTGTTATCCTGTGAAATAAAACATCATGTTTTACTTGATAGCATCTCAAAATGTAACACTCTTTCTTCAGGTGCTTTCGGCAGTTAAATGCCTTATACAGTTATACTATTGCCCAAGTAGTTGGTTGAGCCTCGAGGGATAGGCAAGTGTAACAAAGGAACAAATTCATTTGATATCATACATGTATTTCTACATCCAAATATGTGAACTAAAGAATGATATTTTCTGGGGAACTTGTGGTAACTTCAAAGATATTCATTCGACAAATGACATCCAACTTTTAGGACAAATGACATGGACATGCAAAGATAAGTGTGCATCCTATCAAATCTGGGTACGCATAAGTAAAAGCAATTCTTATCACCAATAGGCTATAAATCTATGATAGAGCACACATAAGAAAGTGCAGGATATCTAGCTTATGTTGAAGAATCTGCACAAAGCTTCCACATCCATATCCAAATGTGCTAACCATTGCTCAAAGAAATAAAACATGTAACATGGATAGAAATGGTAGCAATATACCATTAAAGGATCCAGTGTGATGTCTTGATTATATTTGAGTTCATCTCAACATACTGCACAGAGAGGCGGACGTGTGCTATAGGTAGAGGAGTCACTTGGACCCGTAAAGTTCCGCAAAATTTTTATGTATACATGTATATGTCATTAGAAAATTAGTAGTGTGCACCCCTATATACAAAGCAGATTTTGGTTGAATCAAAAACTACCTCCGCTGCAAATCCTAGGTAACCAATCTGTAATAGGAACTTAGCAAAACAATTAAAGTTCTATTTCACATAAATTGGACAGAAACGCACAACATCTCAATTATAGTATATGTTGCATTACCCACGAAGTTCAGTACACTAAAAAAACACTGACATTTCAAACCACAATCAGATAGTAACATCCAAGTCTAGAAATTAACAAACGCACTTCTTCTCATAACACCAAACAAAAAGGCATTTAAACAAAAAAAAAAGCTATAGACCCATTATCAATACCCACCACGTCTACCACCAGAGCCACCAAATCCACCACGTCCACCGAATCCAACAGGCGCAGCCATAGCCACGGTCTGTTCTTCCTTAAGCACAATACCAGGTAGATCACTCATACCCATAGAAGCAAGCAAGTCAATAGTTTCCTTATCAACTTCAATCCTATCAGTTTGAATAGCAGATTCATCAGGTACAAAATCCATACGACGCTCTCTTTCTTCTTCTTGCAACTTAAGAGAAATTCCTCTTACTGGACCCTTTTGGATCCGCTTCATTAAATGAGTGGAGAATCCAGCAATTTTGTTGCGGAGACGCTTCGATGGGATGATGGCTACTTCTTCGAGAATCTTCTTATTTGTGTGGAAATCTAAGGTCATTTTTGAGTAGTAACGTTCTATGACTTGTCGTGACGATTTCTTCACTGTTTTCGTACGAACACGACCCATGGCTGCTTTCTGGTGCGGTGAGGGGGGCGGCTGGGTAGGGGTAAAGGGGGCTAGAGGAATACGCAGGATGAGGAGAAACTAGGGTTAAATATTGCACTAAGGTTTTATATATACAGTAACAGTAGATCAGTTTTGGAGAGTGGGGATATTACAAAGATGGTGTTGGCGGTGTGCATTCGAATCGGTTTATCGATAAATCAAATCCATTATTTGTTATCGAAATCGAAAAAATCGAAACCTTATTGAAACGATAACGATAAGCATATGTATAAATCGATAATCGATAAGTAATTATCGATAAGGGTCAAAATCGAATCGATAAATCGAATGCACACCCCTAGACTGTAGACACTTGTTAAATGAGTAATTACCTATTTGTGTAAATTAATATACCATACAGAATGTATATATATTCCGCTACTATTTTGAAAGCGGCTATACAATATTATTTCCCTAATCTATACCCTTTCCTTTACCCTATTATTTCCTCTACCACATTTAAGGAATGATCATATTTAAAGATCAAGGGAATGAAGTTCAAATTAATGGAAAACAGAATTAGCCGTGATGATGTGTTTTGTTTTGTCTTGTTTTTTTATACCGTTGGAGTGTTGGTGGCATACATTTGATCCCTTACTTTAGTTTTGTTGCATGTGCTTGTGTACACAATTTTTATATTATAAATGGTGTTCGTCTTATTTTAGCTTCTTTTTGTCCATATTAGTTAGGCGCGTTTATAGCGATATACTTTCCGTGGAATCCCGCAAATTTTCTTATTGGTGTAATCGATAACCGAATCGATAAGCCCCCAAAATCGATAAATCGAAATCGAAAAAATCGAAACCTTATTGAAACGATAACGATAAACATATGTACAAATCGATAATCGATAAGTAATTATCGATAAGGGTCAAAATCGAATCGATAAATCGAATGCACACCCCTAGTTGACCTCGTTTTGTGAAATTTTTGTATTTTGAGGGAGCATTTGCACAAATGACATCTTTTGGAGGTCACTATTTAAATTCTGTCCTATGAACTAAATTTGTCTGCACAAAAAGATGTATTATTAAATTACTTTTAAAAGTGAAATTTCTTTCACTAAACTAATGTGTACAAAACTTAAAGAGTGATATCAAAGAATATCAAATATGTTATAAATATATTATATTATGGATGTTCATTTAGTACTCCGTTGTAAATAAGCTTCCTGAAAAAGCTTATCCATATGGGACTCCGCCGTAAATATGTTTATCTATTGAGTACTCTATTGGAAATAAGCTTCCTGAAGAAGCTTATCACTTCGGTACCCGGTTATGGATAAACATTACCCCCGGAAGAAGATTATCCATACCGGGTATAATAAGCTTATCACTTTGGTACCCGGTTATAGATAAACATTACCCCTGGTAGAAGATTATCCATACCGGGTACAATGAGCTTATCCTTTCAGTACTCCGTTATGGATAATCATTGCCCCTAGTAGAAGATTATCCATATCTGGTATAATAGCAGCTTACACAGCAGCTTGCAGTAGCAGCTCACACAGCAGCTTTCTTTCTTTTATAAATAGAAGAGATTTCAGTTCATTATGTACATCAGTTTGAATTCGAATAATATATCAGTTTCTCTCTATACTTGTCTTTACTTTACAGTCTTTATTTTATAACACGTTATCAGCACGAGACTCTGCCATCTCGAGCAAATACTTTGAAAGTATCTGAGGTATGAACTTTCTTTTTCTATATAATGTCAAATCTTTCTAAACTTGAATTTGTAGCCCTGGATATATCGGGCGAATGTTACATGTCTTGGGTGCTTGATGCTGAAATTCATCTTGATGCGATGGGTCTGGCAGACACCATCAAAAACAAAAATGAGGCATCAAACCTAGACCGTGCCAAAGCAATGATATTCCTACGCCATCACCTTGATGAGGGTCCTGAAAATGGAATATCTTACTATTAAAGATCCAGTCATACTGTGGAATAATTTGTAAGATAGATATGACCACCTGAAGATGGTCGTTCTTCCACGGGCACGATATGATTGGACTCATTTAAGGCTACAAGATTTTAAATCTATCAGTGAGTATAATTCTGCTATGTTCAGAATTATTTCCCAATTGAAATTATGTGGTGATAATATTACTGATCATGATATGTTGGAGAAAACTTTAACCACTTTCCATGCCTCGAATATGCTCCTGCAGCAGCAATATGGAGAGATGGAATTTAAAAAGTATTCTTAACTTATCTCACATCTTCTTATAGCCGAGCAACATAATGGGCTATTAATGAAAAACCATGAAAGCCGACCTATTGGTTCTTGTCCATTCCCGGAAGTGAATGGACGAACTTCCACCAAGCTAAACGTGGAAGAGGTCGTGGCCCCAGTCGTGGTCATGGCCGTGGTCGGGGAAGAAATCCCAATCATGGTAATAATAATGCACCAAAGAACCCTCCTCGCCACCAGCAGTGGAAAAGGAAGGAACAAAAGCATGAAGCGGTGCAAGCACCAAATGCAGAAAGTGCATGCTATAGATGTGGAGGAAAAGGCACTGGTCACGTACCTGTCGTACACCAAAACACCTGGTTGAGCTTTATCAAGCCTCCCTGAAGAAGACAGAGTAAAATGCTGAAGCAAATTTTATTTCTGAAGATAATTTAGACTTCATGCATTTGGATGTAGCTGATTACTTTGCACTCCCAGAAGGAGAAACAAGTCATGTAATCGGTGGTGAATCTGCAAAAATGTAAATATTTTAATTTTTGTTGTTTGTAATAGATAGTATGGTTATGCTTCGATAATGATGTTTTTTATAATATATTTTATTTATGTCATTTTGAAGAATATGGATAATTCTAAAATTATGTTTGAATCAAAGACAAATCATGAAGATATTTGTGTTATTGATAGTGGAACAACTCATGCCATATTTAAGGATCGGAAATATTTTTCTTATTTGCATAAGGAAAAGGCAAATGTTTCAACAATTTCTGGTAATATAAGTTTGATTGAAGGCTCCGGAAGAGCCATTGTATTTCTGTCTAAGAGAACAAAACTTATTATAGACAATGCATTGTTCTCCTCCAAGTCCTGAAGAAACTTGTTGAGTTTTATAGATATCCGCCGAAACGGGTATCATGTTGAGACAATAGATGAAATGAACATAGAATATCTTTGTATTACAAAGAATATTTCTGGCCAGAAATACATTGTAGAAAAGTTACCAACTTTATCTTCTGGCTTATACTATTCAAAAATTAGTACAGTTGAAGCACACTCTATTGTAAACCAGAAGTTTACGGATTCAAATACTTTTGTGCTTTGGCATGCCCGTTTGGGCCATCCTGGATCAATAATGATGAGACGAATTACTGAAAATTCGAGTGGGCATCCATTAAAGAACCTGAAGATTCTTACAAATGACGAATTTTCGTGTGATGCTTGTTATCAAGGCAAAATGATCACTAGAGCATCACCAATGAAGGTTAGCATTGAATCCCCTGCCTTTTTAGAGCGTATACATGGGGATACATGTGGACCTATTCATCCACCAAGTGGGTTATTTAGATATTTTATGGTCCTAATAGATGCATCTTCAAGATGGTCTCATGTGTACCTACTATCATCTCGCAACCTGGCGTTTGCAAAGCTATTAGCCCAAATAATTCGATTAAGGGTACAATTCCCAGATTATCCTATAAAGGCTATTCGCCTTGATAATGCTGGAGAATTCTCATCTCAAGCTTTTGATGATTATTGTCTATCAGTTGGGATAAAAGTTGAACATCCTGTAGCTTATGTTCATACTCAAAATGGCCTTGCAGAGTCATTTATTAAACGCCTACAATTGATAGCAAGACCACTACTTATGAAAACAAAATTGCCCACTACTGTTTGGGGCCATGCTATCTTGTATGCAGCATCACTTATCCGTCTCAGACCAACACATTATAATAAATATTCTCCGGCACAATTAGTTTTTGGTCATGAACCAAATATTGCCCATCTACGAATTTTCGGATGTGCTGTATATGTGCCAGTAGCACCACCACAGCGCAGTAAGATGGGACCACAAAGAAGAATAGGAATATATGTTGGGTTTGAATCACCCTCTATTATTCGCTATCTTGAACCATTCACAGGAGATTTATTTACTGCTCGATTTGCAGATTGTCGGTTTGATGAAACAAATTTCCCACCATTAGGGGGAGAGAAAAAGGAAATCAAAAGAGAAATTGTGTGGAAAGTTTCATCATTATCTCACTTTGATCCACGTACCCCTATATGTAATCAGGAGGTCCAGAAGATCATCCATTTACAGAATGTAGCAAATCAAATGCCAGACGCATTTACTGATTTGAAAAGGATAACTAAGTCACATATCCCTGCAGAGAATGTGCCTATCCGAATTGATGTCCCAGTAGCACCATCTACTAGCATGAGAGCTAGCGAACCTAAAGCACGCCTGAAGCGTGGTAGGCCTTTAGGTTCTAAGGATCGAAATCCTCGAAAAAGAAAATCGACAAATGATCAAAACGATATTATGAAGGGATCTCCTGAAGAGACCCAAAATCTGATTAATACTGAGATTCCTGAAGAAATCAATGAACCTGAAGCTCATGTGAGTGAGGAACTTTTAATAAGTTCGACCAGTGATGGGATTAATTTAAATCGATCTGAAATAGTGGCGGATAATATTTTTGCATATAATATTGCACTTGATATTATGCAAGATAGTGAGGATCTTGAACCTCGATCTGTCGAAGAATGTCGACAAAGATCTGATTGGCCAAAATGGCAAGAAGCAATTCAATCGAAACTAAAGTCACTTGCTAAAAGAGAGGTCTTTGGACCAGTAGTCCAAACACCTGCTGGTATAAAACCAGTTGGTCATAAATGGGTTTTTGTGTGGAAAAGGAATGATAAAAATGAAGTTGAAAGATACAAAGCTCGCCTTGTTTCACAAGGATTCTCACAACGACCTGGAGTCGATTTTGATGAAACATATTCACCTGTTATGGATGCTATAACATTTCGATATCTCATCGGTTTAGCACTACATGAAAAGCTTGAAATACATCTAA